CCGAGTTCCTGCGGGAGAAGGGCTGATCCCAGCTCTGGTTACCCAAAGGTAACTCCCTGTAGCTGGGAGTGCAGTTTGCAGTAGCGCCTGTCCCCGTGATGGAGGACAGCTGAGATGCTGAGTCTGGTGTTACATGGTGGGGCTGGACCAGAAAACCTCCCAACCTAGGTTTCAAGTGTGAAGTCTGCAAGTACAGGGTTTGTTCCTAAGTCAGCAGCTTGTGTGCAGTTGCAGGCAGGGCAGAGGGCAGGGCTACTTCACCTTAACTGTTAATGTCTGGGGTGATGTGGGGGCCCTTGCTTGGTGGTGTTAGTGCACTAGGAACCTGGTGCTTGTTTTCTGCAATAGAGCTTATCTCTTTCACCAGGCCCTTGGTGATCGAAGGGATATCTGTATCTGGAGGGCTTCAGATGAGAAGTAACGCTGTGTTTGGAGCTCTCTCGGGGGCTGGACTCTGGATAACTCTCAGTGGTTAGAGCTATCTTCTTTCTGGTTGGAAGTCAGAGGCCAAAGTCAAGGACCACGAGCCACGGTCAAGAGAGCTAAGGAGCTCTGGCAGCACCAGCGGTCAGGAGAGCAAGCACCACCTGCAGTCACACAATAGCCCCTTCAGAGAGTTCTCTGCACCCCACAGGGTGAGGTTTTCCAGCTTGCTCAGGAAAGCTCTGGGTCTGGTCAAGCCACATGTGTTATCTTAGCTGTTTGAGTGTCTTCTTGTTGCAAAATACTGTTGTTCCCTTGGGCCACTCCTCACGGCTGTATACTTCAAGTGGTGCCACAAACCAGCCCCTCTTTTCTACAGGCTGGTTATAGTCCTATTTTCTGTACGGCTAAATCAATGTGCTACGAGTCACTAGGATTCTGCAGGTGGACCTAGAAGTTCTTCAGCAGCCAGGGTACACCTTCATCTCAGTGTTACAATAGGACAGCACTTCAGAATTCCATTAGGCAGGTAGGAGCTGGAACTGGAGGATCTGACTGATGGGTGGTGCTCTAATTCTAGCAGGTTGCAGACCAATCTCATTCATGTTGTGGATTGCACCCAGCACAAGCAAGGCAGCCAGCGCCCTTTGTCAAACAGTGCTGGTCAGTAACGTGGCAATCTCAGGAGCTGGAAGCACCACTAGTTAGCTTTTTGCTGTAATTAGAAGATAACAAGAAACCCAGACTCTCAGGTCAGTGATCAAGTCCATGCTGAAAGTTCTGGGAGCAAAAGGAGGTGCTAAAAGCTTGACACTGCACCTTTTCCCCTGAAACTATGTATTAATACAGCACTGCATCTTTGTTCCAGGAGGTTGGCTTCAGGAGAATCACAACAGATCTTCAATGTGCAGTAAGATATGTCAGCTCTGATCTGATCTCCGGGGTAGACACAAACCAGATCGTATCACTTCACTAAGGTGGAGCTGTTACTTCGGACTTGGTGTTTCACTTGGTGCTGGTAATGTGGGTACAGGTTAGCAGCTTGCTGGTCATGACAGGCAGGAGGTCAGTACATGAGTTTACTACATGTTCTCTGCTTGTTATTTGAACTTGAGTCTGAAAGCAGTATCAGGGTTACATTTTCATTAGAGTGAATGTAGGTCTGGAGAAGGAATTGCTGGGTTTGGAGTCAATTTAGTTGATTTTCCCCATCGTTACTTAAGGTGCATTTGTTCTAGAAGTACTTGGACTGGAAGATGTGATTTTCGGATCCTGCAGTCGTTTCCCTTATGATAAGGAGCTGGTTGCCCATCTCAGTTCTGCTTCTGTGGCACAAGCTTTAGTAAGCAGAATGTACAGTTAGTCTGAAAAGCCATTCCAGTTGCATAGCTGGAAGCTGCAGGAGTGCACAGAGGTAAGTTTTTTTCTATATTTGGGCACATCAGCTCATATTTGGTGGCTGTGATCTCTTCAGCTGGTCATGACAAGGCTGGCCTAAATGTGGTGCTGTGCTGTGGATCTCGGGCAAGTGTGAACACCACCTCTAAGAAGGCCTCAGGCACCATCGCACTGATTATCTGTTGAGGCTGCATCTCTTGTGATGGAGGAGTGCTACCTTTGAATCCGTACTTAAATGATGGAATGGCTGAGGAGGTCTGGTCTGGTTGGGTCCATATGTCTCAGGACTGATGTATAAGCTTTTCTTTCCCACATAATTGACGCACCCCACACCCTATTACAGAAGGGTTGGGGCTCCAAAGACATCACAGCTGAGTCAACTGACAAAATTGCTTACAAGTCCTTAAAGATGCTGATTAAGTGCTGGAACAGATTTTTGCCTTTTGGTCTGCGAGGGCTTCCACAGGAGCCTATTCCTAAGCCAGCAGCAATGGTGACTCCAAAACACAAGCGCATAGTGCTTGTGGAAGGCTTTGCAAGCATCTGGGTTGAGTTTGCAGGAGCTGGCAGCTGTTGACTCATTGGTGGAGAGATACCTGATAGGCAAAGAGGGGGTAGTTGAATGAATGTCTTGAGTTTTATGGAGCAGCCCTGGCTAAATGCTGGCCTCATCCTCCTTACTTGCAGCGTGGTTGGGTGAGGAGGAGCAGACCAGGTTTCCCTTCTGTTACTACAGAGCTTTCCAGCTCGAGTGGTTCTTCTATATCATTTCCTCTTGGCTCCAACAAAGCCAACCATGCACAGGGCAGATGAGGATTTGCGCCCCATCTATCTGCAGGTACCATTAGGGACCTGATACCAGTTTTGGAGCAAGGATGGAGGTTTCTTACAGTTCATCTTTCTGTGTATCTTATGAAGAACCTGTTCTATTGTGTGAAAGAATAGGGTGACTCCACTCCCTTGGACTCATTTCTTTGTGTGTGCCTTCAAAGCTATCTCCATCCTCATCTTTGGCTCTTTTGTAATTGCTGCCAGTGAGCAGGGATGCTCAAGGGGTGGGACCAGCTGCTTTGTCTCCCAGAGAGATGATGGCTGAGTTGTTTCAGCTCTGGTTTGCTTATCTCCTGTGCTGTCATGGTGCCTGTGTCCTGTCAGGTGAGCATGACTGCCTTGCTACCAGGATGATGCTAGTATATGCCCTGTGGGCTTCCTCAGCTGCCGAGGTTTGTAGGGTTTGGGAAATGGTTTTGGGCAGACCTTCCTTTTTCAGCTGCTGGGCTATTTTCTCCATGTGCTGGTTTATACCTAATGATGTACTGTAGAAAAGGGGTGGTGTTTCTCAGAGGATGGTGTGACACCAAACATCCTGGCTACCAGCAACTGGTGGGAGCTGGGTCGTGCAGATGGGCCTGGCTCCATGTGCAGCTTTGCTCCCTTTAGAGCAGATGAGCCTTGTGGGTTGAGTACAGGGTGTATGGTTCAGAAGAGCCAAGGTACCGGCCCCAGCCAAGGCTGCTGGGGCTTGGGCTACATGCTCTGCACTGTGTGCACCCTTGCTCTGCTTCCCAGCTCCCAGCCTCCATGCCACAGCCCCTTTGCAGCACACCAGCAATACAGCAGCATGTGAGCACAGCAGCACATGTGCATCATGCAACTACCACAGCAGCAGGTGAGCAGCACAGCAAGCCAAAGAGGAGGAAGACTCCCAGGCCCAGCCAAACTCTCCAGTATTGCCTATGCCAAACAGGCCAGGGTGCAAAGCTGCCAGACATAGCTCACCCATCTCTCCCCTGCTGCATCCCAGAACCAGCCCAAAGCCTTGCTCCCTCCCTCGGCCTGGCTTTGCTCCAGGCTCCACTTAGCATCAATTATTCAGTTCTGACTTGCTGCTGTTTTGCAGAGGCACGCAGCAGGGTTGCTGAGCTCTTAGCCATTGTGGGTGGTGGGCAGGGAGGAGGATGAGGAGCACAGCCGTGGCTTGGAAGAGAGCCATCCAGTGACAAGATGAGACGTGGGCTGCCTGCCCCAGCTCCTGGCAGTGATGGTTTGGCTGTTGATGAGCCAGGAAGGACAGGAGCCATAGGAGGCTGCCAGGACACCAGAGGTGAGCGCAGCTTGTTTGTGGGTCTTTGTTGAGTGGTTTCTGTGCAGGGAGCAGCACAGGGATCAGAGAGCCAGACAGCTGGTGTTAGGAGTTGTCAGAAAGCTATGAGGAGCAAGGGCTCCAACAGGTAAAGGAAGGGTTTAGTGGGAATACTGGTAAATGCTAAGTGCAGAGGGAGAGGCAGCAGGAGGACCTGGCTGACAAGGCCAGTTGGATTTAAGCAGCTTCTACAGAGTTCATTTGCCACTGGTCCCAGTGCTGTACAGCAAGTGGGTGACTGGTAAGCTTGGGCTTAGAAATACACAGCGATCCTGTTCTTGGTCCCCTAGAAGCAGTAAATTATTATTTGATGGTCTTGATGGGTTGATGCATAGGGATGCCACATTCCCTGCACTGCCCTTCAGTCCTAGGGTGGCATGTAGCTAATTGTGGCCCATCCATTTTGCTGTCAGTCTTTCTGGCAGAGACAAATGACCCTGTGTTTACTGTAACCATGTTGTTTAAGTACCAAATGGCACCTTTCTCATAGGGGAAACCAGAATACTGCCCAAATTTAACACCCCAAAGACAACAGTACCATGTTTTTCCAAGGACTGGCCGTTAAACTTCGGGTGTGCCAGAGGTACTGCTCACGCAGCCTGTTAAAATCCATTTTCGGCTGTGAGCGGCACCACCTTAGGGTACCAGGGTGGACGCATGACTCAGCCCTGACTCACACCTTGCCAATGGAGTTGCACCCGGCTGCCTTGCAAGGAGCTGTGGCTGCCGGCTCTCTGTCCCATTCCACCCTCCAGCGCTGCCTGCAGGCCGGAAAACAAACTGTGGAGTAGGTTGGACCCACCGCAGCTGAAGCATGCCTGGTGAACCAAGCCAAAAGCCAGCAGGAGAAGGCAACTGGTCTTCTGTAGCATCTGTCGCCGCAAGAAACCTCATGCAGTCTGATTTTATGCTAAACATCTTTAACTGTTATCATTACAACCATGTAAAACACAGCATCAAATACTCTGGACAGTCTGTGTGGATCGGTGTAAAAAGGATTGGCTTTCCCCCCCCCCGCCCCGCAAAAACAAACAAAAACCCCTTCCTTACAAAAGAAACCCACCAAAAAATAACAAAAGAAAAATGTTTGTTGGTTGTTTTTTTTTTTTTAAGTAATAATTATAATACATTAGAAAGAGTCACAGAAGAAGCGTTCCACGCTGTGAACAAAAATAGCAATTAAAAAGCAAAGCAGATGGTAGCCAGGCTCTTAAAAGGCCATGGCCAAGAGACCTGACCCCTCAACCACCATCCTGTGCTGGAGCTGGTCCCCAGCACAGCTCCCGTGGCTCCTGCTGCCCACTGGTGCCACAGCCACTCAAAGTGCTCAATTACAGAAAAACCCCAAAACAAACAAGAACAAACCCCAAACCCACAACACTGGTCTTTAAAACTCCATGGAGGGCAGCGAGGTGAGAGTCATCCCAGGGCTGGAGGGCAAGGATGGGGAGAGCGGGGAAGCTGTTTTCCTGAGTTTGCTCACGGTAAGAGAGGCTTTTGCTAAGGGGCTGAGGCTGCTGTAGGAGACTGGGGCAGGGGTGTGAGTGGCTTGGGCCAGTTATTTGTTCTGCTGAGCTGCCATCCTTGCCCTTTTTCCCTTCTTATCTCCAGCGAATGCACTGAGGTAGGACCACGTCCTGCCCATCCCTGGTGCCACAGACCCGCCATGGCCGCACCTTCATCTGCAGCAAGAAGCAGAGAAGGAGCCAGGATCTCCCGTCAATTATGCTCTGATGTGCTGAAGTGAGAGCATCATTCCAAGGAAACTAACGCATGTTGCTGGCTCCCAGGAACTCTTCCCAAACCTTGCAGCTTTCAGGGGCTGCAGGCTGGAGAAGAGCTGCTTATGTGGCACAGTGAAGAGCTGACAGACCCCCACCCAGCAAGAAGCACACTATAGTGGGAAAGAGGAGCCTGTAGCTGCCTGGTCCAGAGGTCATTGCAACCAGCTCGTGGCTTACCTCAGGCTTGGAGGTGAGCAAGGACCTCCCTGCTCATTCCCATTAGGATTTGGAGGGGAGGAACCCTCTCAAACTCTTGTTGAACACCATGCTATGGGTACTGTGCATTTGACAGCTCTCCAAAACTAGAACAAACCACCTTTTTAAATACGAATACTGCAAAACTTCCCAGACATGCACTGGGTTTAGGAGCCCAAGTGCACGTGCAACACTATGTGCAAAGGCTGTGTGCCCAAAATGAGGGGGAATAAGTCAAAATGAGGGGAGAAAGACATCTCGGCTCTTGCAAATGAGCAAAATGCTCAGATGTCTTAGCAGGAGTCCTGCGTGTGCTTCAGAGAGAGGCCAGAAACCCCCCCAAGCTACAGAAACCAGGCCAAGAGCTGACCCCCCATCCTCAGATGCTTCTTGTTGCTTCCCAACATGCTCCAACAGCCAGTGGGCTGCTAGCAAAGGGCAGTCGATACCTGTCTTGAAATACTACCCAGCTATTTTAACACACAAATGTGTTTAACTACTGCATGGTTACTGAAAAACATACTCTAAATTAAAACCAGTTCAAGCACCATTGTCCTAGAAAGGACCCATGGTGTCCCAAAACACAAATGTTGAACATTCATAACCACTTCTCCTCAAAGAGCAAGTGCTGACTCCTCACAACTCTCCTGTGAGGTAGCTAATAGGGTTATCCCTGCTTTGCAGAGGGCAAAAAGATGGGCAAGGTTGGAGACTCAGCAGAAGATGGGGTCTCTGACAGAGCAGGGGTTGTAACAGAAGCTGAGGGTGCTTTGTCTGGCTGGTTACAGCCAAAGGTAGGGTGCTCCTTTCAGTGCTACCCCTGCTGCTAATAAAAAACACCCCCTAAACTGATAAACCCCACAAAGTAATTTAGTGGAAGTTTTCTGCTGGGCTTCCAGGTAGGCTTCAGGTCAGGTTATGTTACTGAAGCAGCCTGTGAGATAAAAAAGTTTTCAAAGTCTTCTCGGAACTTAAAGGAGCCCAACGTCTCCATTGAAGGGATGGGAATCATACCTACAGTCGCATCTAAGGGGACATCTGCAGCCACCCTTTCTGGACAGCAGAGACAAATACTGCATACCTGGACTAGTTTATTTCCTGCTGCTTCCATTTATCTTCCTTAAGTAGATAATGGGAACAGGAATTTGGAGCAGCTCTTTCAGTGGGGTGAGCTTTCCTTGGGTCCCTGCACACCTCCAGCCAATGGTCTGGGCTGTCCAGCAGCAACATCCTGGGATCGGGAGGGAATGGACAGGTCACTAGGACTTGGTACGTGAAGGGCAAGTGGTATGGGGGGCACCCATCCCGTTATCTCCTCAGCAATAGGCTGGGGAGATGTGAATGCTCTACATCATCATCTTCCAAACTTCTGTGTCCAGATTTCAGTCCTTGGTAGTTAATTGCTGGTTGGACCAAACCAGAAATGCTGGTATCAGGTTGTGGGCAATGTGTTCCCCCTCCCCAGCACCTATTCCATTTCCACCCTCTTAACTTGCTTGAAGTAAAAGCAGGCTTCAGTTTCAGCACCATGATTAGACACTACCACACCTCCAGCAGCTTGCTAATGAAGGAAGGTTTCCCAAGACAATAGCCCCTTTTCCTCAAGCCTGCTCCCCCCTCTGGACCTGAGCAGGAAAGGCCAGCAGAAGGGCCATTCAGCCCAAGAGCCCAGGCTCAACCTTCGCTGTCCTTATCACCTTGAAAACTTAAGAAAGAATCGTCCTGCTGGCAGTCCTCCACCAGGGTCACACCAAGGAGACCGCTCAGGGACTTACCTGCTGTTAAACCTCCCCTCCAGGACATCATCCACCACTGCAGCAGGAGCCAGTTACAGCTGGGCTGTGGAATTGCATAGAGTAGGCAGTGGGGTGCCTGTGTCCTGCCAGGACGCCATGGTCCTGCCTGAAAATGCTGCTGCCTACAACTGCAGGTCTGGGGAAAGAAGCTATCGGAAGATCTATTGCTATAAAGGTTTTGAAAGCAATGCTGTTGGCTGCACTGACTGGGCTTCTTAAAGAAAGCATTCTGGACTCCTGTGCCTTGTACCTGCTTCCACACCATGGGCACCTGTGCCAGGCAGGAGCAGAAGGGAACACACAACACATTCACCAGCCCTGCCTCTCCCCCCACACGCAGTGAGGCTTGAGGAGCTTCAAGGAACACAAAATGAAAGCGCTGTCTAATTTGTCCATAAGAAAGACGCAAACCCAGTTTGCTCATGCCTCCTGGTGCTGGCGGCCACTGCTCCATCTTCTCACCAGGTGCTCGTACCAAAGCACAGCTCAACAGGCGATGGCTGCTGTGCTGTCACCCTGACACAGCCCTGCTGAAGGGGAGGCTCTGAAAATGGGGCGAGGGTGCTGCTCCAGCACTTGCTTCCTGTCCCTTGCCTCCCCCCATTCCCACTAAAACGTCACGGATTTGGGCAGCTTCACCAGGGAAGAAGAGCCGGAAAGGAAATTGTTCTCTGAGTGGGATTTGGCAACCTGTGGCAGTAATTTTGGTTTGGGGCTTAGGGGGGGTCGTGGGGCTTTGAGCGTGTTTAATGGTTTCTGGAAGCTTTTTTGGGCATCTGCCTCCTCTGGGTCCAGCGTGAGAGGTGGTGGCATGGAGGCAGCAGGCAGAGGACATCCAGTCTCGGGCAGCGGCAGTGCCACCTGCTTCCTGTTTGCTACATCCTGCTCTGTCGCATGGGCCAGGTGGAGGGGAGTGGTGGTTTTGATAATGGTGTAGGGGCTGTTCCTCTCCACCATGGGGGACAGTGCTCGCTGCAAGGGGTAGCCCTCACCCAACCCTGCTGCCTCCACCTTGATGCTGGGTAAGATGGGCACGCTGCCGCTCGCCAGCCCCTGCTGCCAGTGCGTGGTGGTACTCCCTGGCCCATTCTGCTGCAGGCTGGTGAGCTCCCCCATGGACGCAGCTTTGGATGCCAGGTGCTTCAAGTCCATTTTGTCTGGTGGTGCTGCTCTGCAGCGTTTCTCAGCTGTCTCCTCCTGGTGCTCATTCTCAGGGGAACTGTCATGCTGAGACTCACTGGAGAGATACTGTGAGCTGCTCAGCAGAGGTTGAGGGGGTGCCTCGAGCACTTTCTCTCTGCAAAAGGAAGATGTTTGTTCTCCCACTGGCAGGGCAGCAGGATTTGGCTGCCACACAGCATGGTCCGTAGCAGAAAACTCAGTGGTGCTCGAGTCGGGAGGACTTGATGTATTTTGGAGAGAGGAGTCTGAGGAGCCGACCTCAGCAGGGTTGGGGAGGGAAACCAACTCATGGTCCACTGTGGCACACACAGGAGTGAGAGGAGTATGCTCCACAGGCAGGGCCGTGGGCAAGAGGTGATGATGGGCCTGCATCTCACTTGCCTTCAGAAGAGATGGTGTCTGTCCGTCCCCTGAGGGCTCCACCTGAGCCTCCTCTCCCAGTGACCCCCCGCCAGAAGGACGGAAGTGGAGGTCTGTCACTTCAGCTGCTTCACTGCCTTGGAGGGTGGCAGTCTTCACCTCTGCCACCATCTCTCCTGGAGCTTCAGGAGCTGTGTGGGGATGTGGTTCCCTGTCCACAGGATGCTCACCCACCCGGCCATTCTGGCCATTGGCTGCCACATTGCCCTTCATGGGTACTGGGTTGAGGGAGAGTTCTAGACCCAGGGGTTTCCGTGGGAACTCCTCAGGCTTTGCTGCATCAGAAGCAAGAGAAAATAAAATAAAACCCAAATTATGCATCAGTTCATTTCTGCACCTGTCATGCCCTGATTGCAGGGGAGGCAGATGCTGCACACAGTGGATGCCAGCCCTTCTGGGCTGCCCCGGCTCCCAAAGCATCACACCAGAGGGGTGCTCTGGTCCCTAAGGGACACAGGTACCGCCAACCATTGCCGCTGGGCTGCCCGCTTTCCCCTGCTACCCACCTGGCGGGGGGAGATCACATTTCATCTTGCGCAGTTCAGTCATTGACACCTGCAGCTGCTCGATGACGGCATCATCCTCGTACTGCAGGGAAGCGGCGATTTTCTCCTGCAGAAACTCCCGTAAATCTTCCAGCGTCATCTTCAGCAAGCGTTCTGGGGGCAGCAGACAGAAGGAATGGCAGTGGCATGGCCAAAGCGTGGGCTGCAGTGCTTTGGTTTTATCTGGGATTCTGCTGCTGTTCCCACTGCGAGGTGGGAGAGCCTGAACATTTCTGCCTCTCTCCTACCTTCCCGCTGTTACTCAGCATTGTCGACACATTTACACACCCGTGCCACTTCTGGGCAGTAGCTCAGCAGTGGCTGGGACCTGTGCTGACCAGGATGCACATTTTAGGCCATTTCTGCAAGTTCTCAGCAATACCTCTAGGAGGAGGAAAAGCTCCATGAGATAGACCCAGAGCGTCAGACTGAACAGCCACCAGTCAGGGATGCAGGCAGATGCTGAACCACCTCAGGGTTGCAGCAAGGGATGGGATGCAGGCAGGGATGCCAATCCACATCACAAATTCCTTAGGAAGGAGAGATTATTTCTCTCCTTCTGCCTGCATGCCAGTTTCCCAGTCTTTGCAAACAAATGGGATACTTGAAGATGTATTATTTTTTGATAGCCTGTTCTTCACTCAACTGAAGAAAGAGCAGGATGGGTGTTTGCAGAAGCCAACACATACAGTCGCATAGATCCCACTGTCCCAAAGGTTCCTAGCATGAGCTATCGGTATCTCTCCTGTCCCAGATTAAAGATCTAACAGGGTGAAAACGCAAGCCTGCTAGCTTATGGGAGCAGAGGGGTTCAAAGTCCCAAAGATCTCTATGTATAAACATCACCATCTTAATGTTATGTAAGAAAACCAGGTTTTGGTCATTTTAGAAGCATATTAAATGGATTTATTTCTCCCTCTACAGCCTTTTCAGCTGAACTGCCACAGAGCTTTGCAGACAGATGGGTTGCTGTCTGTATTGCCCCAAAACCCATGGTAACAAAAGATGTGGGGCGCAGCATGCAGAAAGAGGCAGCTGGGAGTGTTTCAGCTGGGGTTTGCTGTGCACCAAGCACAGCATTTCAACCCTTGTGGCATCTCATTTCCTCCCCAGAGCATCATCATGGGACTGTCCTTTTTTGTGGCCAGCACAGGGCACCAAGCAAGCTCATAGTGGCCAGCAAGGCTTTCTGGGTCAACAGCACAAGGGTGGCCTAGCATAGAGCCACTTCTGCCATACGAGACGCACTCTGCTAGGACCTTACTTTTGTGCAATTTGAGTATGGTGTAAGCCATGGCCGTCAGCACCCTCTCTCCTTCTAGGATGTAGATATCCCACAGCCGCAAGGTGAGGGTGAACGGGGTCTGTTTCAAACACAAAACCAGCTCATTAGCATCATACATGTTAGCACTGATTAATTGAACAATTGTAGAGAGGTTGCTGGCATCACTATGTCTCCTTGCACCAAAACACACAGCAGGGCAAGACACTGGATGACAAGGACTCATCTGTAACACAAAAACCTCTTTCATCAGCTATGGTTTTGCCTTAAAGCCAATACCCTTGGGTGGCTGGAAAAATAACTTACAATCCATCCACGAAAGCAGAAAAAAGGAGAAAGTTTCTACACAGGCATGCTAGCACATGGGTTTGCCTACACAGCCTTGCAAGTGCACAAAGCCACTCCTGTATTCATCTACATCACCCAGACAGATGAAGGGCTATTTATGGGATAGGTCTGAAGGCCCAACTGCTTTACTGAGCATTTAAAAAAAAAAAAAAAAATTCACTCCTTTGGTGCCTAGAGAAGTGGTCTTCCTTATATGCAGGCTTATTTATGTCTTCTAGACAAAACTCTGCAAGAGTCTTTCATTTGCACCCAGACACAATCTTACAAACAGGGGTGAACTAATGATGGAGCAGGCCATCATCTCCCAACAAAGATTCCAGGCATCTCACCAACACAAAAATTAATACTAGTCCCACTGTGACATCTAAGTTCAAATTTAGGATGCCGTGCTTACTCTCCAGAGTCTGGCATGACTGGCCATCACAGCTCTTTTACCACATTACTGCTGTTAAAGGAACTTTTGCATTTTATATAGCATTTAGGGACAGACTGCAAACCAGTGAGCTCCCTCTCAAGGGGAAAAGGTCATCCACTGTTTTACAGGAGATGGGCAGCAGAAAATTGAGCCTGGGAACGCACAGACATCATAAACATGAGCAAGCCTGGATACTGCTTTTAAGTGTGCAAGCACAACAGTGCCCCTAAAAATAAATTAGTCTTTGCTCAGGACTGGCAAATTAGCTCTGGACAAATCAGAGCAATTTTCTCACACTTTCACGGGTCTCCAGTGCCCAGTCCGCTCCTTTGCCTGCAATTGCTGCAGTGCTATTTGTTGAGGTTTGTGCCTCCAGCTCTTCATCTCCCTATGTTGTTTCCAGAGCCAAAGTGAGGTTAATTGCCTTTGCACCAATGCCAGTGCGCAAGAGAAAGATCTCTCCCAAGTTTGCAGCTTATACTGCTGCTGCTGAGCCTTCTCCCAGTGACCTCTTGTGATGAGGCAGCATGAACTGGCTTGCCATCAGTGACATTCAGTTATTTTTAACTTCTCCCTTATTAAAGTTTCCGCCTTATGAGTGTGCACAATATCCTACCTTACAAAATACCAACACTTTCTTCAAATTATGATACTTTTTATAAAAACAGGCAGATTAACCATGCATGCAAGCAGCAGGGCAGCAAACAACCCAAAAGCATCCTCACCCGATCGATGAAACACTGCAGAAACCACTTGGTTGTGTAAATCCCTGTAGTCATCTGCTCCTTGTCCTAGGAGGAGATAGCAAAGACAGGCAGGCATTTCACCAGGCTGGCTGCTGAAGGTTCAGGCAACTCACAGGGCTTTGGGGGAGGCTGGCTCGCTGGTTTATTAAAGCTGGGGTCTGGGTGCAGGATCTGTCTGCAGTTTGTCTTCCAACAAAGACCCTGCTTCAAATACCGGTGTTGAAGTCCTGCTCTGATCCTTGACGTGGCCAGACTTCAGCCACAACTTTGGAGAGGGATTCCTAGAAGCTTTCTCTGACTTTTACCTGCTCCAGGGAGTTACAAAACACTTCCATGAACCCAAACCATGCACTCCTTGCAGACTATCTTTTTTGTTTCCACAAAAATTCCCATGTGAGCCTCTTTGAGCACCACAGAAATGATTAATCCCAAGTATTCCACAGGTAAATCCAGACCAACACAGTCAAGCCAGCTTTGTTAGCACTACCTCATTTGCATGCCATGGCTGCTGCAGGAGCAGGATAGCCTGACAGACTAAGGAAAACTTTAAAACCTCACCATCACCACCCTGGTCTATCACTTTTCCATCCCCATCTGAGACCCAGCACAGCATCCGCACACAGCTTTGCTTTTTCTGGCACAGCTGATGGCAGGGCACAGCTGGTGCTGGGACGCACAGTGCCCTGCAAGTGCGTAAAGTTGGTGTGACTGTTCCTGCAAAGCCAGCAAGGCAGTGAGGATGGGAAGAAAAAGAAGCTTAGGGGATTAATACCCATCTCTGGTCTTTGCTTTGGCTAGTGTTGGGCACCTGCAAGCCTGGGGAGCCTTTTGGAAGCCAGGAGGCACAAGCAGCTTTCAGAGAGTTATTTCCATCCTCCTTGCTCATCCTCCCCAAGGGCATAATTAGGTGAAAACCTGTCCTGACTCTGTTTCACTCTTATAGACAGGGCCAGCTCATTTGCAGCACAAAGCAAGAGCTGTTGCAGATGATGGCAATGTAAACAGCCTCCCCTTCAGGGAAGGACCTTCAAACCCCTTGGGAGCATAAGAAACCTTCAGGAGTCTGGCCACTGAATACCGTCTACAGCAAATGCAAGAGGGTGGGGAAGGAGAAAAAGAAAAGGAAGCAGGTGTTGCAAAATAGTAGCCTAGACATTAGACTGCAGTTGATGTCTCCTGCAGATGCTCTTCCAGACACCAAATGGGCTCCTACCATCTGCCAGACAGAAAAACAACTGGAGGTGCCCAAGCAACAAAACACACAGCAAATCTTACACCCCTCCTGTCTTTAAATAATAGCAAACCTGTTAAGTGCAACCACTTGGGACTAATAATTCTTGAATTAAGTACAGCATCACCCTTTGGGCTTTGCATCTGGTATAAGAACACAGCTCAGCCTTGCTGCTGTAAAAAAGCTCCTTTTGCTGCAGGCTCTGTGAGCCTTCCTGCCTGGCTTTCTGAAGGAAGCTGTTAGATTTTAGCAGTTCCTACACTCATGATGGCCATGATACTGCAAGCAAATGATAACCAAGATTCAGGCATCCCATTTAATAAACGTTTGCCTCTTTGCAGCTGAAGCAGTCCTACACAGTTAGAAATATGTTCAGTAGTGCATATCCCTGGCAGAACATTACACTAATTGCTCTAGCATTAAAACGTGATTATTAGCATGGGATAGCAAAAATATACCATGTGCTTCTTCAGTTTGGGAACCATCTTGCTTAAAATCTGCTCGTGGTGAGCCTGGAATCTCTGCAGCTTTGGGAACCCAGGAATGAAAAAACCTAATGAAAAAAGATAGGAGAAATAAAAAAAAAAAAATCAGAAAAGCTCTGGAGTTTTTCCCTGCATTGCCCGTTGAAGTCAGCAGGACTACAGTGCACCCAGCTACCTCCCCTGGCATCCCTCCAGAGCCCACCCTTCAACCCATGCCGCATGGGCAGCAGCACTCTCAGCACTAACCACAGCAGAGCAGACTCACTCACCACCCCACCTGAGACTTGGCTTGGTCAAGACCTCTCTCAACACATCTTGATGCTTACCAAGGTTCAGGGAAAAGCTGATGTTTGAACAAAAGCTTGTGCAGCACTCCATAATCTAGTAGGACATGCACTTAAGACTGCCTGGAGCTATCAAGCCATAAGGCTTAGCCCTCTGCTGATAAAATAACCTTCTGTCCATAGATTACTGCTAACCACAAGTAAGACAAAAGGATCTTTAATGTGACTGAAATAAAATAATTCAGTACATTTGGTGGAATCACATCTTCATAAAAACACAAGGGTTGTACGGCTCTGGCATGCTAGAAACAGCATTACATGATGCTCTTACATGTACTTCTGTGAGACTTCTTAAAAAACCTGCAACCTTGAGTTAACTTACTGCCAAGGGCAAGGCACTTGGGAGGGAAGACAGCACCTCTGTGAAAGCATTAATTACTGAGCACTAAAGCTCAGTGCTGATAAACCACATTTTTCTCTGATGAACTTGTCTGTCTCCAAGAGTGAAGTTCAGCTCCGTAATCGGGTTACATCAGCTCGTAACTAAGTCTTACCCATTTTAAACAAGTATGTAAGGAAAAATGAGTCTCTACTGACCAACCCAAACAGCCTTCCCTCCCACTGCAAGAGCCCCCATCCGCATCTCACCCCAGCCTTACCATGCATGGCGTGACGCTGATTGGTCAGCAGCTGTGCCAGTGCCCAAAACGCATCCTCTTCATTTAAGTACATCAGGAGAATGGCTGCGATCTGGCTCATCCCTTGGCAGTAGCTCACTTCCTGCAAGAGCCAAGAGGGGCACACATGCTGCCATGCTGTCAGACCCCACCATGATGCTAAACCTGCAGAAGCAGGTCAGGCTGTCTGTGTTTCCCTCTCCTCTGTCTCACTTTGAGGTCTTTATCATTTATGCTCAGATTCACAGCTCCCATATGTCTGCAGCATCTACCACGTTAATGTCTCATAAAGTGGCTTGGATTGGAAGGGACCTTTGAAGAACATCCAGTCCGAGCCCCTGCCATGGGCAGGGACACCTTCCACTAGACCAGGTTGCTCAAAGCCCCATCCAACCTGGCCTTGAACACTGCCAGAGATGGAGCAGCCACAGCTTCTCTGGGCAGCCTGTGCCTCACCACCCTCATTGTTTACGTTTTTTAAAACGTCTTCCTTATGTCCAACCTAAACCTATTATCTTTTGGTTTAACAATGTTGCCCCTTGTCATGTCACTAGAGGCCCTGGTAAAAAGTCTTTCCACCTTTCTGATAAGATCCCCTTCTATACTGAAAGGCTAAAATAGTCTCCCCCTGGAGAGTCTTCTCTTATCCAGGCCGAACAACCCCAACTCTCAGCCTTTCTCCATAGGAGAGGTGTTCTGGCACTCTTGACCATTTTTGTGCCCTTCCTCCAGACTAACTCTAGCAGGCAATGCCCCCCACCATGCCACTCCCCTCTCCAGCCCTGCTCAAGCCTGGAAGGTTAGGGACAGAAATGTCAACATAAGAGGTGCCTTCAGCTACTTCAAAGAATAAGGGATGGGATGACAAAGAGCATGTGGCTTCAATCCTGTTTTGGATTCCTTCAGCCACATGAGCACTGAAGTAATTAAAGAATAAACAAATCTGGTGAGCATTTATCTGGCATGAGGGAAGGTGGGATCTGTCTTTCCTTAACTATCCCCACTGAGCATCTTTTGTGCCTTCTGGGGTAACTGTGCCCTCCTGGAGATGGAGACAGTAAGTTCAGCTGCTAATTTAGTCTCATTCTGACTGTGCCCTTCAGCTAAAAATGACTGGTTTGCTGCAATAAATTCAGTATTTGGCAAGAAGTGAGAACGAGATGGACTTTCAGCCAGGAGGTTAGTCTTGCTGCAAAGTCAAAGGGCAATCCCCTTTGCTGAGACTCAACCAAAATGCATCTGCCAGACATCATTTACCAGATGACAAAATGAACTTACTGTGCAGTCTTGTGCTGCTTGTGAGTCTTGCAGCTGTCTGTACAAACCAGTATTAGGACTTAAACTTGGACTTACCACTGGCTAAGTGTGGGGGTGCATAGACATACATACACAAATAAATATACATGAATGCACATATAAAATAATATATATAAACCTTTTTTTAATATTTATATATACATATATATATAAAAAGCACAACACTATTCACTTCAACTGGACTAACTACTTACGGTGTTATAGACTGAGTATGCTGACAGGACATGGAAGAGTGCCTGTTGCCTGTGGAGAAAGAAGGATATTAAAATACCTGAGCACGAGGTTTCCAAATTTATCTGTACACCAATGCATAAGCACAGAGAGCAAAAGCTCTGAAAACACCCAGCCAGCTGACACTTATGCCTTTTGCAAGGAGCAGGGCTCACAGAACCAGAAAGCACCTTGATGGGCATGTGGGACAGCACCTCTTCCTTCAGGTGGAAGAAGCCCCACAGAGCAGGGCTGAACCAGTCTGCTCCATCACCAGGTCTCCTGGAGAGACATGCATGTACCTAAACACACTGTGTTCAACAAACCTTTGGGTTTGGAGTGGTGGTGGGATTTTAACAGACTTGCAACCAAGCAAGCATCAAGCATTATACATCCTGGGGGAAAGCACTGACACCATTTTATTAATAGGTTACTTTCTCCCTTCCCTCCTTATTGAAGGAGTCATCACCATATAGATACAGAGTGCAGCCTTTGTCCTAGGCAGGTGACAAAGCCATTTTGTTAAATCTCTTCAACCCCATATGTTGTGGAAGTCAAGTCCACCCCATCCCACCCAGCTCCTGAAGGACTCACCCTGTCATCCCAGCCATCCCAAACCAAGCCCTCTACAACTGCAACCCTAGCACCTTGGGGAACAAGGCACCACAACAGGTTGTTGCTTGGCTCAAGAACTGGGGTTGAACACGGTCCAGCGTGGACCTTTCCAAAGACAGAATCAGAATCCCAACATCTGTGGCTCGTATCATGCACTGACGGTTTGTGGAGCAGGCAGAAATGGCTTCGCTCTCCTGTGAGCTACTCTGAGCCAGGGTACTGGTGGCCACCACAAGCCAGGAGGCTGCTGACTACCCCATCCAGCTCATCCCATGCATACCCACTGGCTCTGAAGCCTCCCATACTCACTTCACTCCATAGCGATCCCGAAACATGATGTGGTTTCGGAAGGTGCGGTTAACGTCCAAATCTATCTGCTTGATTTCTGACGAAAAGCTCTTTGCTTGCTCTTTCATTTGCTGGGAGAGAGGCAGACAGAAAGGAGGAGTCAGGCACCATTTCAGCCCATGCCTCTGTCCCTCCACGCAGCGAGAAGTCATGCTTCCTAGAGCAGGAGTGTGTGAGTTGCACAGAGCTACCACAGAGCCACTTGGGGACGCTGCCATCTTGCAGTGAGCAACAATCTGCAGCCCAGAGGTGAACCCCCAGCCCCTCGGCTGTGCTGCTGGCTCAGTGAGAAGGGGATAACCCCACACTCATAATCCAGCCATTGCTCACCTTCCAATGCAAAGTTTTCAGAATCTAAAATAATCTTTACAATAAATTCTGCTCTGATTTATTTGATTTCTTTGTGGTACCCAGTCTGGCTGCCTTAAAGCATTAAGACCTCTGCTGGTGCTTAAGGAATGATACACTGCCTTAAGGAACCAACACAGATGTATGCACCAAGTCCCTGAACTTTTCAGAGGCTCAGCTAATAAAATCTAAACTGTTATGATGGGCTCTATGAAGTGCTCTCCAACTGCTACTTCCCCTGCAAAAGAGAATCATCTTAGATTTAAGAAGCTTCCCCTAGGAAAGCAGTTTTGGGGTATTCCCTTGGACTGGTGCAAATTATAAGAGTCCAGAACAGAAGCTAAACTCAAAGCCAAGAATCCCCACGTTCCCTCTGATGCTGACTAATAATTTAAGGAAGCATCACAGAGATAAAGGACTGAAGTCCACTGCAAAAAAAAAGGAAATTCAAACCAAAACTAAGCCCATCTCAACCAACTGCACCCTTAGTGTCCCAAGTTGAAGATGGTCCATGGACAAATCCTGCTGCAGTCTCATTTGTAACCCACTGTTCAGCCCTGCGCATGCAGGCAAGGACCACTTTGCTATTACCAAGCATCTCATCTCACAGCCTTTAGATAACACTGGTGATTATGCCCCCCTTTAATATCTCCAGGGTCACTAACTCCTCCTCCAAGTTAGTTGCATTAATAAAATACATTCTGTGACTGTCTTCAGGCAGCCTGAGATCCACCCAGCAGGTTGGGGGCAACAGAGATGAGCATCAAGCCCAGCTTGCCTTGAGCCCAGGATCAGGACCCATCCTTGCTCACACAGGAGACAGAAAATAGCACATCTGCATGGATACTTAATCATCTGCTCCAGCAGCTACCGTCCTTGCTTGTCAGCCTGATAACAAAGTGCTTCCAGACTGCTGTTGACCGCCCAGGATGACCACATCAGCTCTGGGGAACATCAAAAGGTCATTAGTACCCAGATGTATCCAGTACAGCCAACACTTGGGGCAGTCACAGCATCTTGGGAATATTAAGTCCAGCCTTGAAAGCAGCTGTATGGATGAACAACAGTGCACAGGCTATTTTGAATTATTGCCTGCACAAGACAGGGGAGGATAAAAGTGACAATGGAATGAAGATTTTATTAACAACATCACTTCCCTGATGTAAATCCCATGCTCTCTGCATCTTACGGCTCCCTGCCCTCTATAAAGCGGGCAGAATACCTGAGACAAGATGACTATTCATATGCACCACGTCACTTCAAATTTCTCTGCTAAAGGCCCTCTTGTTTTCCCTGATAAAGCAACACAGAAACCTCCCAAAGATTGTAAAAAATCCTACTCTAGGCCTTTTTTAAATCAGTGCACCTAAATAGCAGTGATTCTGTATAGCTGAATTGCAGGTAGGTTGCACTTTGTCACCTCCATGCACCCAGAACGCTTGTTTACCATTCTGCAGATGATAAACAAGAAGCCCAGGATGGGTTGTTCTCCTTTTATTCCCTTAAGTAACCTGGGGACTCTATAGATCCTCTGCTGAGTTCATTAATGCTGCAAGCTGGTGGCAGAGCACAGGCTGGGAAGCTGGAGGTGCCATCCCAGAGACTTTTTATAAACCAGCAGGTAGCCAGAATGCCTCTGCTCTGCCCCATGGCCAGCATATTACTCCTGACACCTTCTCAGCTATCCTCAAGCCCTCTCAGTTGTGGCTATACAACCCCAGGGAGGCAGAGTATCACGCCCACATTAAAACCAAATGTGGCATGTCCCATAGTAGCCTCCGGGCTCCTGAAGCATCACGGACAACTGAGCTGCCATGGTCTTGAGAAAGACTTGGAGACTTGCATGGAGAGGACTTGGAGGACAGCTGGGAAAAGATAAAGCACTGTGGAAGCAACTGGAGCCGGCTTTTTAATTGCATCACTCTAGAGGCAGCACGGTCACAGGGGGCAAGGTATCCCACGCGGCTGGAAAAGCAGCTCCTCCACCAGATAAAGCGCAGGGGACAACATCTCTGCAGTGGGGAGCATAAAAAAAAAGATAAAAGACCCAGCATGTGCCAGGTGGCACACTCAGAACTCCAGGAGCATGCAAAAGTCAGGCTTCTGTGCCATGGTTCACAGCCAAAGAGAAAGAGTGGCCTTGGGACCAGTCCCTCCAGGACACAGAGCTGGAACTGACACTTAGTCCCTTCTTCCTGAAAGCAAACCCCCTCATCCAGAACCTGCACTAAGCCTCTTCTGGAGGAAATTAGGGGAGAGCTAATTACTGATGGCAGGTGGCATCAAAGAAGAGGTAGATGAAGATGAGCTTGTAGGGGGTTTGCATCCAGCAAAGCCTATTAGGCCTGAAGCTCCTGTTTATTACAGACCCCTCTGGAGCACAGATTAACTCCTTGTGACTTTCATTTGTTTGGATTGCTTGCTGCCTGCACAGCACAGCTTCAAGGGAGGGAGCACGATAAGAATCTGCATGCTGGGAGAGCTTTCTTATCTCTGCTTATTACCATAAGCCCAGCACACCCTCCCCAAGCCCCTGCACGTGACTCCCCCCAAGTGGCATCTCGCTATTAACATCTATGCTTGACTAACCATAATTAACGTTAGCATCATCCTGCTTAACAGGCAGGGATTTTTAGGAACACCTGCAGGAAAGTAGCACTCAGCCTCCTGCCTCTGACAGGCAAATGTCTCCACAACAGCCTTATCTTCGCTTGGGTACCTGGTGCAAGCTAAATGGTAACACAAGTTTGGAAAATAAGTTAATTATCAACCAAGGGGTTCCACATGCTGCCTACGGAAAAAGGCAGAGTAAAGGAGCTGATATGCTCCCCCCAAAATAGCAAAATACAGGAAGCCCCATCATTTAAGTTCTTGTTCAATACACACTACAGAAATTGCTTCTTTCGTACCAAGGAATCTAAGCCTACAACATGCAGTGCTCTGGTAGGAAGCAATGCAAGGCAGGTTTTTACCCTATCTGCAGAGAAAATTATTGATTTTTAATAGAAAAATTATTTGTATTTGATTTTAAGAGTGATTTTTAATAGAAACTTTCAAGACACTTATAAAAACATTGAAGATAGAAGATAAAAGAAACCATTTCAATCCAAGTTCTTCCAATACTGCCAGCTAACTTCCAGCTGCACACCTAAGTTGTAAACCAGGACTCTGTGCTCAGTAATCCCCCGCCCAAGCTTGCAAGACCTGCCCTCACCCAACCCTTAATAGGGTTTCTTGACTGATGCCCCACTGTCAGCTGGTTTAAGGTTTTTGGCCTTGCTGCCCATTTCAAAATGCCCCGAGTGAAAGTTTCAAGCACATGGAGAGGTTTGGGTACCTCCACCCAGAGCCTACCCACTTCAGAGTACTTGTGGCTACTCCACAGTTCCCCAAGCTCCCTGGAGTGATACGAGCAGTACCTTTCCTAAGCTTCCCCTCCCTCTTCCCTGCGGATGTAGTAACACTGACAGCATCTTTGCTCACAACTACCAGCAGAATAAATGGAAGCAGCATATTAGGGAAAGCAGCAGAATAACATGCTAAAAAGCCCCAGCCTAATATACACATGTGGTTCAAAAGTTTATACCCTTTGCATTTTCAGTCCTCACTAATTTTAAACCTTTCCCTCTCAGGGTCACAGCAGTTCACAGACGGATCAGGCCCCACCACCACCCACAGTGTACGTCGCTCAACACGCTGCTACTGTGTGGTGGAGGGTGCAAGGGCTGGGTGTCCCCCAAACCATCCCTGTAGGAATTCCCATTTCCCTCCTGTCCATGCAAGTGGAGATGGAGATGCCTGCATCCACCATGGGTCCCACTTGCCCTTGCTGGTGAAGCCCCACCAAACCAGCCTCCCCATCACCTTGTTCCCATTTTTTTTGCCAGTAACAGTCTGTACCTCATATTTTCCCTCATTCTCCTTCTTCATCTTCTCAACATCCAGCAGAAGTGACCAGACCTGGCCTCGCACCTGAAGTGGGATCCCTTTGTACACTCGCCGGCACATCTGTGCAGAGGGAAACGTGCAAGATTAGCTGGTCCTGCTGACGGCCAAACACATTTGCTCCTTGGTTTGCTGCTACAGACCACCAGCCATCTGAGTGGATATCCCAACCAGTCACTTCCTCTGACTGCACCGGTGCAAAGAGGGCATCTCCAACCTGACAGATGAGCTGAGGACCTGCATCCAAAGACACCTACTCAGTCAAAATCAAGCCACACCTTACACTTCTAACCTTACTGGAAGAGCTGGAAACAGACCACCCTATTTATACATAGAGGCATCTCAGGTGCTTCACCGTGATCATATTCTGTGCACACCAGCATGCACAGAGACTTCTCCCCAAAGACCAGACACAGCACCCTTGGCTTTGAAACTTTTGATTTGAGCTTCCATGGCTGTTGGCACCTGGATCCTCAGTGATTGGGGAAAAAAAAATACATTTCTCTTCGGAAAGGAGAGCCCTTATGACAGCCACAAGGATGAGTCTACAGCAACTCTCACAGCTTGACAAGCAGCAAGGAGACTGTGGGCGACACCAAGGGCACTCCCGGGAACGTGCAGGGTACTCTTCAAACCAGGAGGGGGATTAGGGACAAACATGCATGTGTCCCCTTCTCCTGCCTCCACATGTTCACTTCATCTCACAGATGCCTCTGTCCTTTTTTCTTGCCATAAAGCCCTCTCTCTCTCTCTAAATAGACCATTAAACTTCCAAAGGGAAACAGAAAAAAAAGAGCTTTTGTTCCATCCCTGACTTCTCCCATTAAAAGAAAAAGCTTCATAAAAAAGAAAAAAAAAGCCTTACTTCTGAATATTTTCCACTCTTTCAGTCATCCTACCCACGAAATGCCTTGTAGCTGCACTACAAAGCCAACTGTGGCACTCCAGGTTCCTGAGGACCTGGAAGTATGCTGAAGTCCCTGCTGCACATGCCCAAGCTCCAGCTGTGGAGGAGACTTATGTTGCAACACGCTGATCCACCAGGACTAGACAATTCACTGAGAGGGGACAGAGGATTCATGGGAATGAGCTTGGGCCTGAGCAGGGCAGTGCCCAACCAGGCAATCAGCTGGCCTGGCATTGCCCTGGTACAAATGCAATCAACCTCCTCCCACATCCCTCCTCTTTTCCTTTAGGGTGCTCTATTTCATGCATTTCAGGCTGATGCAAGAGAAAGGCTGCAACTTATAAGGAAGCATCAAGATCCTAGCAGAAGATCCTCTGGACATGGTACTGTGCTCTCAACCCACCTGGGCTCAGAGCCTCTGAGAACACAGACCCATGCACACACCCATGCTCCTTGTTCTGCAATGCACCTAACCGATTAAAAAACAGCAGTGACAGCTCTTGTCTCACAGGTTTAGTATGAGATAAGACAGGGGGTGGGGTTCAAATAGACAGGATGGGGACAGCAAAGAAATAACACCACTATACCAGTTAAAATAAATACATAAATTAGCTATGCAATAAATGCCAAGACCACCATGTAGTTCTAGAAGAGTTAAATGTGTGCTAGAACACCTCTCCACCCCATTATGGTAAATATTTCAATATTTCTGCTGACACAGAAAGTGTCAGTGTAATGTATCCTGATCCTGTGAGTGTAAAGAACATTTAACATTTAAACTGTCATTCTCAGCACTTCCTAAATGCTTGCTCTGCCCCAGGTGTTGCTTAGCACCCGCTTTGAAGGTCCAGTGCATAGGCAGGACCATACCCTGCAGAAATCCTTTGCCAAATGCTGCCCTCCCCTCTGTATACATCAAATAAGAGCTGCCCACTAAAAAACATCTCATTACTATGATGTGCCCATGGAAGGCTACCATTTGATTCAACAGCACCTTACGTTTTAAGTGGGACATCATTAATTCACTGTATGCATACCCAGGGGAGACACTCCTGCTCATCCAAGCTCACACAAGGTGTTTCTGCAGGATAGCATGCCATGCAGGAGAGTTTAATTCCCATGGCTAAAAGACCAAGGAGACAAACAAAAGATTCCCATTCCCTGAGAGTCACCAGATCAGGACGAAGTAAATGCAATGTATCAGGAGACACAAAGCAACGGGGCTATATGAAACACATACTCAAAGCAGTAATGGTAAGGTGCCCACAAAAACCTGGCTCCTGCAAGCGCTTGTGACTTCATGAAGCAAAAGCTGAGATGGGATCAAGAAAGTGGAATATGTACCAATTCAGATATAACCACCAATTCAAAAAGAAATTCTTTATTTCCAGTGCATTATGAGAAGCCAGCTGACAGCTGCCAAGGTAGAAGATGATGCTCAGCTCTGTGGGAAGAAAATAATATTGGTTTGAACCCCCAGAGCTGATATTGTTGTTTTTTAATGAGCGCAACCCTCACTGCCATATAATAAATGTCTCTAATGATACTCTCCATAAGTGTGGCAGGAACAAGGGAGATAGAGAACATGTCAAGATGGAACTGAACTGAAATGCCTCCCTGTTATTTATCCAGGGGCTTTCCTCCTCCCACCACCTCCAAACATGAAAGTGATAAAACCTCAGAGCTGTTAGTCATGTGGAGGAAAAATGAGCAATTTTCCTTCATCACGAAACTTGAAGGGAAACAGGGAAGTTATCATTAAAAGCCACATTTATGCTGGGATGAACTGCCAGCGAGAAGGCAGCGGGTGATGGCAGCTCCTGCTCCATGTGAGAAAAATAAAACCCCAATCCTTAAGGTCACCATCTTCTGTCTCTTATAAACCCCTCAGCCCTTACAGATGGTAAAAGAGCACCCAGACCATGGCCCATGAAGACTAAGAGACCAATACATGGCACAAAGAACAGACATCATCCTATCTCACAAATGGCTCAAAGAGCAATCCTTCTGGAGAGGAAGGACTCCTTCACTTTCTCCACCAGTCATGTGCCAGAGGAGCTGAGCTGTGAAAATCTTCACCACCACCACCACCCCAGAGAAGAGGGCTTCTTTTTTGTATCACAAAGCCACTGATAATGTGACCATGCAAGACACATGGCAGCCTGGACTTCATTGCGTGTGGTTTTCTTTTTGTATGGATAATGCTTGCTTCCAACTCAGCTGTTGTTCCCCTGCAGCTGGAGCCTTGGCGTTGCCAGATGGGGTGCCAGCAGATCTGCAGGAGCTTCAGCCACAAAGCAGGGGCAAATTTAAATCCTAAAGTTGATGTGCAGGCATATACATTTATTACCAGGGCTACCTCTGGGGGAGTGGAAAATGCTACCTGCCTTCCCAAAATGGCAAAACACAGCTGCAGTCACCCTGCAGCTCCCAGGCACAATTCCTTTTCTTTCCCATGGCATTTGCGAGCAGGAGACCTGACTTCAGCTGGCCCTGCCATGACAAATGTCTGCTAGCTATCCCCAGCGCTGCCAGATTATTTACTCTTGGGGGCCTGCGTGAGTGCACACAGATCCCCAATTCATCCTAAACCACTTTGCTGGCATGCGCTGGATTAAGTGCCTTGCACTCCTGTGACCTCAGCAGAGACAAGGCCACCCCTGTGCACAAAGACAGGCTTTGCCTAAAAACCAGGCAACTCTGGCCAAAGACATTGCTCTCTTTAAAGGTCCCATCCCACATGGCCCACAAGCAGCGAGAAGCAGTTTGCAAATGACGCAGAGATCATATCCTTTTCCTAAAACTGATACTTCTGGCTTAAATCCACTTACTTCATGGCTACAATGAATAAATTACCCCACTACTGGAGTGCATGCACCACAGACTCTTTTTTTCTCTGCAGAGCTGTGCTGCCTTAGCTGTGTAGATTCTTACATGATACCAACCATTTCTTAAATCTTCCCAAGCAGAGTCAGGTTGGATTTAAACTCAGGTTTAAAACGGCAGTGAAGAAGATACAGACCACCTGAGCCTCCCTGTGCTGAACCCTGAATTACACAGTGTACCACTTCCTTGTTGCAGGTTTCATGTACTGTAACTCTACAAAGCAGTGTGGGGCTTGCATAGCCTCCTTTATTTCTATACCCCTTCCCTTGTGGAAGTACAGCCAGGAAAAGGCACCACTGTATCAGTCTAACCTCATTTATACAAGGAATTGTGCTGATGTCACTTTTTGTAGCTCTTGTTACTGAAATTAAATCAGATCATTACAAAACGTGTCTAAAACAGAGATGAAGACAGATCTGATGTGATGATGAGCATAAGGGACCCCAGAGCATCACTTCAGTTAAGATAATCCTATTTGTTACTCTTCCTTAAATAGGTTATGCCAGAAATTATTTTAGGCATAGCTGGGCTATGCTGTTTTATAAACTGCAAAAGGCCTTCCTCTTTTTTTCAGCCTTATTTCCTATAGTGTGTGACAGCCACAAGGCCCAGGCTGCAGTGAGCATCACGCAGGGATGCACACTGGCAGCAGGCAGGGGAACAGAAAGCAAAACCCTTTGCTCTCTGGCAATGGCTTACACCAGGGGTATGAAAAAGCTGCTTCCTGGCCTGCTGATGGGTTGTTGCTCTGGGACCAGTGTACACAATGGGTACACAACCTCCCTCCCTGCTGACATTTCATAACACAGAAGCTGAAACAACAACCTAAGCCCCGATTAGCTATTAAGACACTGCAAAACATGACAGCCTGTTTGATAAGCCAGGAGTCTCTCTTCATCAAGCACTTGATATGCTCAAGCTGTCTGCCAGCTCCAGCACATTAACTGGAACTCAAAAGGTTGCCCCTGAAGTCTACAAAGTCCCAGCCTGTAAAATAAGACTGGTTTCTACATCCCTTTAGCAGAGTCAAAGTCAAGGCAGCTTCCCTGTGAAACTGTCTGGGGCTCCTGCAACAAGATTCTTTCCCTTTCTAATACAGTGCAGTCTATCAAAATTAACAAAGGGAAGGCTCCTGCCTTCAATAAGAGGGTTGTGTTTTTTTTTTTAAGGATGACTTCCTAGTCTTTATTAAAATAACACAAGCTGCTGTCTTGTGACACTCAGGCTTCCTTCACGTCAGAAAGTGGCAAAAAACAAACCTGAAGGAAATGTGCAATGCAAACATGACAGCATGAGTGCTCAGAGAAGGAACAAAACCAACCCACTGTGCTTTAGAAAAAAACAGATCAAGGGTTTGTCACATTTACTTTAGCTAGAAAAAAAAAACATAACCATCTGAGGGGCATGACTGTCTCTCAGCATAAGGTCCTTGAAATGCCATGTCTGAGCTGCATGGCAGCATGAATCCTTGAGCAACTTACATGCTCCTGACACAAGAGGTCACCTGCACATCCAGGTGAAGGATATGAAAGATACAACCTGATTTTATTATTGTTTAAAGTACTCTTTTTGTGTCTGTCAGGGTGTTTGCACTTAACAGTACATGGCTGCTCCAATTCACAGACCTTCCTGCCTGCACTTGCACTGGTGCAAGGACTGTTAAGCTGGATGGGACTGAAACTCCTTTCTACTCCCTGGGGTCACCAGACTGCTTCTTCCCTGCTTGGGGCCAACTGCTGCTTCTCTGTTTGCTGGGAGGAGGAGAGAGCCATTTCCAGTCCCCTAGCATGGGGACAATACCATGTCTGTGCCCAAGAGCCATCAACCATTTATGGGCTGTTATAAATAGCATCATTTATTCCATTACAAGAGCTCTGTGATTTTCTGACTTAAAGACCTTCAAAACCCACTTGCTAGCCCCTTGCCATTCAGCAGACCTGACCAACATTGTCTGCAGTGTGCTTAACACCCACTAGTTATCAGGGTAAATCCAAAAGACAGATGGGGATCACTGCTACTCCACACCCCCCTCACCAACTGACCCACGGAAGCTCAGGTGTGTTAAAAACACTCATTACCCATCCCAAATGTCCTCCAGGGCTTCAAGGAGTTCCCTGCACTCTGCTGGAATTTGGTGTTTTACCCACAAGGCCATTAACCAGCTAGTGCTAACTTCTAATTAGGAAAACCAAAGCCATGGGAGAGCCCTTTTTGCCTGTGGAGGAGCACTGATGAACAAAAATAGTTAGAACAAGCCTGAAATGAACAGAAGGATTATAAAATCCTAAGCCCACCTCTACCCCATCCCTGCTATAAAATGAAGATAAGGGGTTGTTCTTGTTTTGTTTTTAAAAAAGGACAAGACTGCAGCTGGTCTTTGGCTGGCTGAACCTGACATCACTCTGGATGGCCAGCTGAGGGGGATGCCCTGCTCAATGTGCCCCCTGCAGCTATGCAGATATCCTCTGCACAGCTTTTCAACTGAGCTTAAGTCTTTCCAGAGGACTCTCAACAGGTCCTAGAAGCAATAGAGCCAAACACCCTGCTCCTCCTGCCAAACAAGAAGGCTGCAAAGACCATGGAGACAAGGTGACTCCGGGCTTCAAGACCCTGTCCTGTGCAGAGTGCCATAAGCAGAGCAGGTCAAGCATAATGCTCCTCCCTGTACCCAACAAGGGTCCTGTTGTTAGGTTCAAGGGTTTTCTGTGTCAATAGGTTTGTAATTGCAACATATTACAAATATTATTTATTAAAACCAACATAGTTTTGCAATAGTGTTTGGTGCAGTCTCTTTTGAACACCAAAGCCAAGACACAAGGTTGGTTTCTCTGTCCTTGATTTCCACAGACGGATGCACACAATCTAACACCTAAGCAGCTTCTTAGGCACAGCTAGAAGCAAAAGACAAGATCTAGGTGATGTTCTAGAAAAACAACATATGAGGAACATCAGCTGAACTGCATACGTCACATCTCCCATGCCATTCCCAGGTGGTGGAGACAGAAACAACCTGCAGCATGCAATGCCCCCTGCTCCCACAGGGAAAGGACCCAGCTAGGCACACAAACATCTCTGCTGTGCACAGCGAAGCAGAAGTGCAAACATGCTAGCAACATTTAGGAAACCATTTTTAAAACTATGCTTGTCAGAAGAAGACTTTTTCCTTGTCTTTTCCCCCAGCAACTTCAAGGAAAGAATTAAAATATTACAGACCAACTGGAAAATATTGCCTAATTCTACCTGTGATCTTCGATTTCTGTACCAACTTTTCAAAGCCTGACTCATCAGAAGGATGCACTCCCCACCCACCAGACACATGCTCTTTCTTTTCCTCCTTACCTTGTCACTGTTTCTGTATTTGCTCCATTTCTTCAGCATCTTTAGCCACTTGTCCACACGTTCGATTTCCTGCTGTTTTTGCTGGTGCAAGGAGGAAGAAGACAGGAGAAATTTAAGAAAAAAAGCCCCAGAAGATACCTCCTAAAAACACAAAACTTCATTCTCTTTATCTTTGAACTTCTACACGAAGACTTCACATTGCGGATGGGAATAATCCAGAGGTGCTTGCAGGAACTGGTTATTTCAACCCATGGTAATTAAAGCAGCACTGGTAAAAATGATGAGACACTTAGGCTTAATGTAGAGAAAGCATTTCTAAGAGGAATATTCCTTGACAAAAAATATCTTTGCAGGTTCAGCTAGCCTCAAGTCGTATCATTGTATCAGACTGGCAGAAATGAGATGCTATTTGGTTCCAGTTAGAAGGATCCTAACAGAGGACACACTCTCAGCTCAGGGGAGACGAGGATGGAGATGATGTTACCTACAACCTCCAGTGCTTTTCCCTTTTCAAGCTACAGCTGCTGAGCACTGTGTCAAAGCAGAGGGAAAACCCCAAAACTGCTTTAAGAGGTGTGATTTCAGTGTAACATGGATAAGGGGAGATGCCTGACCCAGCAAAACAAAAACTTCAACAGTTGGGCAACATGCAGTTCCCACCTCTGTGTAAGCAGCAGTGACCAGCGGACACTGTTTGCCTGCTTCGCTCTCACGTGCACATTTGCTTCCTCAAAATCCAGCCCCTCCCCAGCTGGTGTGACAAGGATCTGATCAATACCCATGATGACAGAGCTGGCAGCTCTCACCTTCTCTTCCAAGGTGGTGCGGGTTGGCAGCTCCTGCTCGCTGGAAAAGCAAGAGGTGACTGGTTACTCTCTGGGCAAGAAAGGGTATGGACGAGCACTCGGAGTGCTGCAGCTTGGGGATCGTCTTGGGCACCTGAGGAGATATAGCCCAGGGGCTTCCTGTCTTTCCTACAGCTGTCCCCCATGAGAAAGGGGCAAAGGAAGGACCAGACAAAACCCCATCACCCTACAGAAATGGTCATGGAGGATCTCTGGAGAGCAATTGCTTTGAACCCCCCTCCTGCACTAAAAAAGACCTACTATAACAACTTCTTGTTCAGATTTGGAATAAAGAACCAGTTGTTTTAAACATTCTCCCCAGGCAGAGGCCACCTAAATCATCTGTGCCCTGCTTAAAAAGGGGATTTTCTAAGGGAACCAAGAATGACCATATATATTTTCTCATCTCTTCCTACACCTCCCTGAATCATCAGGTGCAAACTCAAAAGTATCCCTCTGCAACAGACCATGGGCCTTCACAGAAGTAGAGGAGCACCAGCTTGCACCTTCTGATGCCAGGCTCGTGAACCACTGCAAAACGGTTTGCAAATGCAAAACCATTTCTGAGTCTTGCCTTGCAGCAGATTCAAAGCATCAGAGTATTTGAATATGTGTGGTTGAGGGAGGAGGCACATCTAGTCTTTCCTCCTGCATATAGGACTGAACAAGCCAAGCCACAGAGCAGCTTATGGGTCTGCCACGCTTGGCACAGATGGATGCACAGACATGTGAGTCAGAGAGGATGGGAGAGGGCAGGAGGACTTACTGCAGGAATCCAAACCGGTCTGTAACTTTATACAGTGTAAAATCAGCATCTTCCCACAGGTCAATCTGAGCTCCCTCCTGCCTGCCCTGAAAGCAGAAAGGACACCTGTGAGCAAGCTCCAGCATCAGGAATGCCCCAGTGCCTGAATCCCAGCCCCAGTGCCTGCATCCCAACCCCTGGCACGCTAAAAGGCATAGAGCTAGGAGACCAAAACCTGCTCTAAAGAGATAAATACAGTGCAGGCAAGAGCAAAATGTGTAAGTTCAGCCTATCCAGCATTCCAGTGTGCCTCTGCTATAGGCTGCAAAGGGCTGTATATCAGAGAAACTAGTGCTGTCAAGCATAAGCCATTCTGGTGCTAGGGAGCACCGATGCACTGGAAGTTCAGGACCTTTTGGTATCTGTGCTGAGCATACAAGGGATCTGTGAGGAACTCTGTGGATGCGGTGAGAAGGGATGTGCAAGCAGAAGCAGGTAGTGAGAACTGGCACAAAGCCTGATGGCATGAGGGTTACTGGGGTGATACCTGCAGGGATGCAAAAGTTCTTATTCAAAGCAATCCTAATCAGTAAAAGAGCTTCATCCTTAGCCAGCATGATGGGGAAAAACATAAGGTTGGTACCTTCTCATATTTAGCAACAATCTCTGCTTTTTCCTGGGCTATTAAAGACTCTATATCTTTCTTCATGTCAGAAGCTGTAAGACACAAAAAAAGGGGTGTGGGTTAAGTAAATGTGTACACAGCATGGGAAATTTAGGAAACTGCTAATAGAAAAAAACCTTTGCTAACAACTTCAGCTTCCAGCCATATCCCATAGCAAAAATTAGGCTGAGGTTGAAAAGCCCCTGCCTGTACAAAGCGTGCATGCAGCTTGCCTGCACACAGCAGGACTGCCAGCTCCCTGCTCTCCGCACACAACTGAATTTGAGCAAGGGGGAATCCTGTCTGCTGAAAGACAAGACACTGTGCCTTTGTTCTTAGGCACACACATGCCTGTATGAAAGACATTGTGTTTTTAAATCAAGACATGCAAACCAGCCACAGAGCCCTGGCGCTGCACAGCAGTGTTTGTGTGGATGACAGCAAACTACCATGCTCTTGCTCTCAGCTATGGGTCTGAAGCTGTGAGATGCTCAGTAGGGGCATCCAAAGGCAGATTTAACATCAAAGGAGAAACTAAAAGGAGAAGGTTTTGCCTACCGAAGTGTGCATACAACAAGTAGATTTGCCTCTCTAGATGACTGCCTTCTATACACCCCCTAAAAAAAAAACAACACAGCAGCAAGATGACTACAGAGTCCCCACTTACTCTGAGATGGGCATGTCTTCATCTAAACAAGACTCAGTCTAGCTCCCTGGGGTCTGTGCCAACTGCTCTGCTTTGTCCCATACACATAGGTACGAGCAAGATAACCTCCCACATCAAATGTGACTCAAGTGTTGTCTTGTAGAAGCCCAAAGGAGCATGCTTCCTGTAAAGCCATAGGCAGTTTCTTGCTGTTCACCAAAGAAAAAGGCTGATTTAACACAGAGGAGAAAACATGGGCAGACAAAACCTGTAGGGAACACAGTCCCCAGGAAGAGGGCAGAGGGAAGGTTTACCAAGTCCTCCTCCTCTGAAATGATGATTCATGACCAGCCCAGATCAGAGAACACAATGACTATGGCATCATCTAAAGCCAGGCTACTACAAGCCACATTATACAAACCTTTGTGCTTCAGGAGCAATGCAGTAAACTTGTTCTTGAGCAGCTACTGCACAGTGTCTTTACCTGTGGATAGCAATGGCCCTCTTCTCTCCAAAGAGGTGGTCACCAGTGCTTTGGGATAGGACCAGAGCACAGCAATGCAGGATTTACTTTCCAGCTTCAGATGCAACACAGAAGTCATCTGTTCTTTTTTATTTTCAAAATTCTGTAATTTCTTGTACAAGGCTTTCAAGTCTGTTCTGGTAGGGGGATCACAGATGTTCTAGGCAGCTCCTTTTCAAGCCCTACAACAAGCCTCTCATCTGTATTACTTAATTTGTTTAGCTTTCGTATGTTCTGAGTAAATCACTGGATCATTTGTAATGTGACAGTGGGGAAAATATTTTAAGGCTGCTCAAGAACAAGTTTACTTCAAGCTGCCACTGCAGCTGGACACCAAGCACTACCCTGACCTCCCTTCAGGAGGAACCTGAAGGGTTCTTGTAGGATATGCTATCCTAGCTTCTGAGTGAAGCTGCATCTGGATGGCAGCACTCAGCACCAGATGAGCCAGAGCAGCCAAAGGCGCTGTAGCTGGAATGACCTGAAGAATGCAGTTTTTCCTTGAGAGTAAAAACCCAAGAGCAGTAAGAAAGAACTGGGAGAGCTATGATGAGCAAAAGCATCAGTGCTCTCCAAGGCTCAGCCCGCTTCTCTGTGCCTTCAGACATCTGTAAGTGATCATTTGTCTCATCTTACCAACTTCTTAATGTAACCTGCTCGCTGCCACCATGTCTTTCAGGCACAGGTGGAGACTGCCAGGAGATCCATCTTTCCCAAACTCTTCATTTTGAAAGCAGCTATTGCTCCTGGTGTGATAGAAATATTAAACCATGTGCAATAACCAGGGCAGCTCTTCTGTGACACATTATCAGCCAGCAGCACAGGCAATTTACTGCTTTACACTCACTAACAAACACCAGAAAAAAGCACTCTTCAAACTCACAGCAAGAATGGGTGTCTCTTTCCCCATTATTAACTCCACAACCAAAACAAAGCAAGGATGGAAATATTAAAGTGTATTTTGTTCCCTTATTTTTCCAAGCTACATCTCTTACGTCAAATGTTCCCGTGAATTTCGTTCAATACACGTTAATCACAGCTTCATTTTTCAAAGTAGCAAGGTCTGAGTAACTGTCTCTGAGTAACTGTCTCATGGTGTCATTTAATCTAGCTGCATCTTCTCCTTCTCACATCTCTCTTATGTGAAGTTTAACTAGAAGACAAATTCACTCCCCCACTTCTGACATTTGTTTCTCAGTTGCTAGTTAAGGGGCCAAAGACTTCAAATTAGGTCCTTTACATGCAGCTAAAAATACAAATATTCTGCAAGCTCGAGGGAAAAAATAAACTGTGCATCAAATTAAATGGTAACTTTTTCCAAGACGTTTACAAAGAGAAAGTTATTCTGAAAGTCTCTGACCACACTGTAATAGAATAACCAAAGGAAGAGTGGCTCGGTAACATGGATGGGTTTACAGAGCAGAAGACAGCAGCAAGACCACATATATATTTTGGCATCTGCTTCTGCAAAAGCCCCTCTGCAGCCAGAAATGCCAGAGTGGTGCAGAGGAGACAGACTGGCATCTCATGCCTGGAACATGCACATTTGTATTCTCATTCTGCTATAACAGCACAAAAGCCCAAGTTTAGGAAAACTGGAAAGCAGACTATGCTGATGGCAGTGTTGATGGCAGGATGGAGATGGCAGGTGGCTGCACCCACCTTGGCTTCTGATCACAACCCGGCTGCTTTTTGGAGTACAAAGGTGACACTGTGTTTGACTAGGTGATTTTCAAAATACTCTGGAGAAGCAACAGAATAGAGCTTAGCTCTGTAATGGCCTGTGTTGAATAAAGATATTGAATATGGATATTTTAATTATTTCCTAAAATAAATAATGTGGATAGTTTGAATATTGTATGTATAATACAACTGAATGGATGAATTGAATTCATACATAGAATGTGGGTATATTTATTATTTAATATAATAAGAGTTCATACTATCACTCCAGAGTAGCTTGACACCATAAAGTTATAGCATTTGCTTGAGGGAAATGACACATTGTTTATATGAAAACTACTGAGATATTTATTTTCTGGAGAGCCTGAAGACTTTTCTTTTTAATACACCACTCAAATTATTTTCTCCAGATTGCCACCCAATTTTTTCTATGAATTGTGTATCTTCTCAGCAAACAGGGTTGGGATTTTTTTGCATGACAACCACACAAGGTGAAGCAGATATGAAAAGGAAAAGTAAATGTGAACAATGTGAAAATAGTATTAAATAAATTTACTAGGATATAAGCAAAAGATGGCCCCAAGACATGCACACTTAAATTCAACTGGGAAACAAAGTTAACAACTAGTTCCTTTGAAAAAGAATGAGTTGAAAAACCCCACCATCTGTCATCTCACACCAAAACTTGCAGCTTCCAATTTAAAGAAGTAAAAATCAATCCCAACAACAGTAAGCTTGAAGATGCTTAATGAAAATGCATGTTACTGCCTACCAGCATGGAACTCTAGCCATCTGCAAGCCTGAAATAAAATATCCAAGTTTTGAATTAGAACAACGTCCCTGGAATTAATCCACCAGCTGGGATCTCAAGTATTGGCAGCAGAAAGAAGGTGTCTCCATCAAAAATTCAAGACTCGGTGCCAAAATTGTTACCTGTAAATTAGATTTACTGTTATTACCCTCCCCCAAAAGTCCTGTGTTTTTCCAGTAATATCTACTGAGCTCCAACTGCCTCTCATGGGGTAGAACCCATGAAGACCAGCCTGGCCAGGAGCATGGGAACCTCTGGCCACCAGTCACTCAAATTGTGTGTTGTAACCCTGCTCACTGCCCAGAAGAGGAGTGACTGCTCCTTGTGCTCCCATGACCCGGTGACAGTGCTCCTTGTGCCACAACCCAGGGACACGGACACACACATCCCCTGTCACCCTCAACCTCGACATGATGCCTCCTGCTTATAAACCCATTAGCAATCACCCTGCCTAGTTTGCTCCCTCTGTGCCAGGACCTGCAGAAGACACAGACACTGCCACCTTTTTCCACAGAGGTCGCTTGCCAAGGTCCTCCTCTCCCCACTCCTCAATTTACATGCAACAAGGACAAACTTCGATCAAACTCCACCAGGATGTCAGACCAGTATGCAGAATCTGATCCATCAGAACAGCAATTGGATATGGACTGGAACTGAGACATCAAAGGCTCAGCTGATGGGCCCAGTCCTGCAGAGGGTTGCAGGTGGTTGCACATCAGTATGTCTTGAGATGACCTCTCAGAAATTCACTGCAACCATGATTCCAGATGTGACTCCTCTGAGCCCTCCTCACAAACTGCTTTTACTGTTGGGACCTTTGCCAGAAAGCATTTTCCCAGATTCTGAATGGAGTAGCTGTGGTGATGTTACCAAGCAATCCATCTGAGCTGCGGAACTTTTAGTCTCTCCAAGCCCTTTCTGCTCCTTACAAAGAAAGTACAAAACTTTTACATGCTTTTATACTGGTTTTAGGTAAGTTTTATACTATCAGGCTGCACAAGCATCATACTTAATTTGCTTGCCTTCACCATTTTGCTGCAAGGTGAACTGTAGACCCAGCATCACCTGGCAGAAGGGCTCTTGAAAACTAAAATATCAGCAAAATCTCCTCTTTTCAGGAAGTACAGCATAGCATCATGCTCTCAACTGTGAGCTAGGTTTAGGGATATTCTAGAACCCAAGTTTTAAACATTTTATATTGTAGAAAAGTATCTACTCAAGCCACTTGAGGTTACAGACTATGTTTTGGTAACTTCCCCATTCCCGCTGCATTCACCAGTCAAAGCAAATTAAAGGTAAGCATGACGCAGGCACACAGTCAAATACAGTTGAGTTATGAAATTTTACCTGTTACCTCTGCCAAGGAGAGTCATTTCAACTGCCTGCACCCCTCCTCAGCATGATAGATCTCCAGGGCAAAACGTGTAAAATTTGCATTTTTGCTTCAGTAACCTCTCACAGCTTGTCATGTTTCCCCTGCCCATCTGCACTCAAACCTACAAAAACATATAATTCTTGTTCTGCAAGCTATTGCAAGCAGAAGGTCATAGAAAAAGGAGAAATGGAGGCAACTTTTGACAGACATACTTCAACACCATGCTGCTGTGTATCAGACTGAAACTACTGCAGTGGAATAAAGTAGTAAAGGTACGAACTTACTACAGCCACATCTACTGCTGCCGAAATTCAACAAGTTGCTGTTCCTGTTTCTTGTTCTATTTTAAAAGCACATGTTAACACAGTGTTTTATGTTTTCAGCCATCTAAGATATAAACCTGTGATTTCTAGTGGAAAAGGCTTAAAGTAAATGCTTAAGCATCTATGCAAGCGAGAAAGCTTATACAACATCTGCTAAGAGGTGAGATGCCTGCAGTCTGCACCACTTCTCAGTAAAGCACTGCTCTCACTTCTAAAGCCATTACTAATTCTAACAGTGACTCATGCACTTGTACACCCTGGAATAAACCTGGCCATGAGAAGCAGTGCAACAGGCTGCTTGTGAAGCGGCTAAAGGAAGCTGCAGAAAGCTGAATAAACCCTGTGGGGGGCGAGAGGGGTAAGTGCATCAAATGGCACCTTGACATGCTTCAAACCATGCAGGCTATTAGCTATGTGCCACCTCCCCATCCTGGTTGCCTGGTATAATTCGGAGGCCACAGTCAGCAGCTGCGATCTGAGGAGCTGTCATAAGAGGTTCTTCTCTCACACACTTAAAGGCCTCTCAGAAGCAAAAGCCATGGGGTTCCACCACCTACCAAGCACAGCCAAAATGAGTACAGCTTTGGGTCTGCTTCAATTGCATTGCCATGGCCCAAGGAAACCTCAAAGCCTCCTAAGATACCAAGGAGGAGCTGCAGGCTGCTGCAGGCAGGTGCTGGCACACATGCCTGTGTGCCCAGGAGGTGACGAGCCGCAGAAGGAAGTGACAGCCACGCGCTGCCAGAAGCAAGCAGAGCTTCCGCTTCACAAGACATGGCTCCTCACATAGAAATCAAGCTGCTACTGAGGTCTTGGTACAAGACTTGCCAGCATGCCCACCTCCATCGTCACAGCTGCCACGGTATTGCTTACTAGAAACCCAAATTTCAATCAAAAATGGACAACACGCTCAAGAACTTTACACTGAGAACTTCTGCTGATCCCCGTCCACAGTTCCTCTCTCATTAACAAACCCAGACTGCAAACAACCTGGCCAGGCACCAGCTTCAGTACTACACACCACTGACTGCACTTCACCAACCTCAGCCCAAATCTGGCACTCACTCACAACCAAAAAGGCAGCCAGACTTGTACTCACAGTCAATTATGACTTCAGGAATGAAATTACTATCAAGCAGGATGAACCAAGATACAGGAAATCCTATTTGCATGTTTATTTCCTTGACTACAACAAAAACTCAGGAGCACACAAGCAGGCTGGTTTGTTTGGTTGGGGTTTTTTTTGTTGTTTAAGGGCATAAGGAGCAGTTAGCAGTTGAACTGCAAGGAGATTTATGATTTAACTGTCTCGGGGTCTTTAAAAATGACTTCCCACATATCACTTTAAATGAATCACATATGTGCTACGGAAAATTCAGATGAGCTCCTGTCCCAGTAAACTGTATCTGAAATTGCACTGGATGCTGTGTTGGACAAAAACATGCTCACTTCCCTTAGCAGAGCCACTGGGAACACCCAAATAAGAACCTCACTTTGAGGACACTAACAAAGTCACAGCACTATCACAGAGAAGACCCTGGAGATTTATCAAAACAATGACCCACAGCACACAACGGCTCTTGGGGTGATTCTCACCTACTCTGGAGCCAGTTTGTAAGTTCAGAGAAGAAAACATGGAAATAAAACCCAGCTCCAAGCAACATGCCCTTACCTGAACCTGGTACCAGGTGCCGAGAGGCATCAGCTCAGCTGGACTTGTCCTCTCCCCTGTGGGCATCTACCTGGCAGGAGCTGGTTGTCTCCACCGTGGGGTGGTGAGGACCCCCAGCCACTGCAGACCACCGATCAAATGCGCTTTGTCCTCACCCGTGCTGTCCAGGTTCAGTGACGCTCTCCCCTTCCCTCCTCTGGCACATGAGAGCTTGCTGCAAGTGTCTGGGAGAAAAGGCAAGGAGGGAGGCAATCCACACGTGGGCTCTCTCTTCCCCTGGGCTCACTGCAAAGGAGATAAGGGAGTTAAGTTTTCCATTTCTGGTACAGCAGAGGCACGATCGTTTACATTCAGAGGAAAGACAGGTTGCACTGGAGTGGGCAGCAAGGCAGTATCTCAGCCTGCTGGGGAAGGAATAGGCTGTAACTGGAGGGCACTCAATGGCAGAAAAAAAAACCTACACTCACTAACCTGTGCTGCAACCAAAGCCTTGGTGTAGGTCGTGCTCAGATTTTGTTGATTTGGTGTTCTCAGGATGAGTTTCCTCCCCACCCAGCTCACAGCATCAGCCCATCCAGAACTTGTGCTAACACAGAGGACTCATTATAGGAATTTTGTTTGGGGCTGGGCAGGAGTTTCAGACCTATCTGACCGTACATTCTAGGTACTGAAAACCAGCCTGTATGCTTCCAGCTGCATGCTGGGAAGGGACTCTTCATTAGGAACTGTAGTGGTAGGACAAGGGGTAATGGGTTAAAACTTAAATAGGGTAAGTTCAGGTTAGATAAAGGAGGAAGTTCTTTACTGTGAGGATGGTGAGGCACTGGAATGGGTTGCCCAAGGAAGTTGTGAATGCTCTATCCCTGGCGGTGTTCAAGGGTAGGCTGGGCAGAGCCTTGGGTGACATGGTTTAGTGTGAGGTGTCCCTGCCCACGGAAAAGGGGTTGGAACTGGATGATCTTAAGGTCCTTTCCAACCCTAACTGTAACCAATTCTATGGTTCTATGATGCTCAGCTAAGACACAACTCAGCACCTGGTTTGCAGCAGGGGAGCTGTATTTTAGTCCATTTTCTGGCCTGGTTGAAGTGCCAGGTGATGGAGGACTTCCCATACAGATCTCTGACTACCACATTTTTGTACCAGCAAACACATGCTACTGACAACTCAGCAGGCAGAATATGCCCCCTGCCCAAGCCAAAGGCACAGTATTAAGCTCGACTTGAGCCAATCTAAGAGTATGTTGCTGCCAAGAAGGGGTCCCATGGAGGGTCAAGGCCATTCCTCCAGGACGTTGGTCAGGTTAAGACCACTAACACAAAGTCACCAACTCACACGGCAGAAGAGCTGGGACCAGCAGTACCACCTGAGCCACCTTGCAGCACTTGCAGTACCTACCTGATACATCCAAACAGCTAACGCAGTTCAAAGGATACCAGAGCCCAACATACAGCTATCAGTTCTTTTAAAACAAGTTTTTAATTCTCACATTAAGCAATGCGCTGGTTTCACAAGTATGAAATCAAGACACCACCCCAAACTGCAACGCTTCTGTCTGAAGCCAGCAAGTGCTGGGAGGCAGAAGTGTGTGTTGATGCTTGGGAGAGGAAGCACAGCTCCCTTTCGTCATAAGCAGCCACTTTAATAACACCACCTCTCCTCCAATACCCCTCACAAGCACGTGCAAATGGACTTTTCTCCATATTCCTGGGCTGTCTTGTGCTGAATTTCCCTGCTGTCACTCCTTCAGCACCTAGATAAAACAACTCAGAGACCCCCAAAGTGCAGAAGACTTCACACCTTTTCAGAGTGCTATTATAGGTTACTTCCATCAAGTAGCCTATAATACAGATTACATTATATATACATTAATCACTGAGTAATTTATAAGGCTTACACACATTATAATGCAGATTACACATGGTTCCCAATTTCCTTCCCAATTTGCACTAAGCCACCAACCTTTTAAAGTATGATGGCAAGCTGCGGCCACAATGATTAATTCTTTGCCACTAGACTATGGCAGTGCAATGAAATCTATATACATTGGCCAAGTCTTCTAATTAAAGAAATCACTAAATGTAAGGCTGCAATTACTTGCTATGCACACTCCCCACAATGAGCTCACACAGCAGCACTGCCAGTAAATAAAACCTCAACCTTCCTGTGCTCTCAGTATGACATCTTGCTCTCACATTGACACACATTTTTTGTGCTCTACCTTAGCACTCAAGTTAAGGTCTTCTGCCAGGATGGAGATGGGAGGAGAGAAGCAAGACTGCTGATAAAGAGATTTGGTCTCCTCCTTGCTTATGCTCAATAAGCCCAGCCTTGGTGCTTCTGTAAACTCTCAGCTGCTGCAATGTCAGAAGACATAAGCTAAACCCTCCAAGCAGAATAGTGAGTCTACAAGCAACTCCTCATCAGCTTCTACTTTTAGACCTCACGGGGAATAAAAGAGTATCCAAACATTTTTTTTTATTCTCTTTTTGACAGGAACTCATCTTCTCCAGACAACAATAGCAAAAAAAACCCAAACAAACAAAAACCAGCACAAACAAATCCTAAGATGCTTATGTTTTTATGAACATACATTTTTTAAAAGCTTCATTATTTTTATGATGTCTCATTAAAAAAGGGAAGCAAACTAAAGAATGCAAAAGTCCACATGCGGCTTTGGGAACTGAAGACTAATTTTCTCTTTGCATTCCCTCCTACCTCCCTTCTAGTGTCTATAAAAAGGCCAGAAATGCTGAGGAGGAGGTGAGGGGGGATGTCAACGACCATCCCCTTTTTTTTCGGGTAATGCACTGACCTAGAAAGGAACTACATAAACACAGACCTTAGGAACCAGCTTCTTCTGTTTGCTTAAGACTGGAAGAGCAGTTTACATTTCTTTAACCGTAAACTAAAGTAAGCTACAACGATGGTCACTCTCCACTTGGATATGCATTCCTCTCAAAGTATTGTATTTTATTCTTTTCAGTTCATGTACAACACCACAGGACACACTTCTCTTTTACCATACCCTGGTCACTCTTGCCTCCAGCTATACATGACAATTTTGGGTAAGCTAAAAGCTCTCATCACATCTCCTTTTGCTATTTAAAACTTTTTTGCTCTTCAGCTCAGCAGCCACTGCCAGCTAGAGGCCACCCACACGGAACACGTGCCTGGAGCAGCAGGGCGAGGACACGTATCCTCGCTGATACCTAAGATGCTACCCTGGGAACTGTAGAGCAAGTGAAGGTCACTAACCAAAACCAAAGGAACAAGGATGCAAAAATAAGCTACCGTGCTGCCAGCAGCCTGTGCTTTCCTTTGTAGAGAGGGGTGGCATCTTTTTTAAAACACAAATAAGGAAGTAACAAATTACCATCATATAAAGTCACTGGGACAGCTGACGAAATAAATGGGTAGGAAGTTAAAAAAACCTACTAATAATGAGATGCAGCTTGTCTGTGGAAAGCTCACCCAAAATAATCACTATGGTAAATGATTTATAAGTTGCAAACATGTTAAAGTGAGACCTATGCTGACTGTGTGGGTCCTGCACCGCTTGCCAGAGCCCCTTGCTCCACTCCTTGGTAGGGGAGGCAGCTTGAGCCATTAGCCTGACCCTGAGCCACACTAATGCCCATCCTCTAGGAAACTATGTATTTTAAATGAGGTTTTCTGAGTACGCCCTCATTCCTTCAGCTGCTTTAATGAGTTTATTCAGCTCACATTGCCTCCAAATACACAGCCCCATGCAGTAAATTATTTGTATTTGGCAGCCTCTGCAGAGAACACTCCCTGACCATGTTGCTGGCAGTACCTTGAACTTGCACTACCTTCAAACAGCATCTCAGGATGTTAATGACTGAGCTGTTGTTCACTTCTTTTCTTCTACCAAAGCCCACTGCAATCATGTCTAGTAATAGAAAATTTCAGGAAAACAATAATATTGGATCTGACATTGGAAAGTACTGAGAAAATGTCTCCCAAAGCTCTTTTACAGCCTTGAACCATATGCAGGACAGCATTAGGATACACAGATTTTGAAGGAGTTTGAAAGTAATCTTTTTCTAATTACAACATAACCTTTCCCTTCCTTTTTGTTTGTTGATAATTCCTAAAATTACCCCAACTGAACAGCTGCAAGAATTTTTGCTTTTTTTGTGTGTGTGCAAAAGCAACATTTTATATAAAATTTGATGCTTATGCTCCCTTTGAGGAAACTGGTCACACAGGAAGTCCTCCACTCTTCCCTTCGTCGAAAACATTTATAAAATCCAACTGGAAGTGAAGACTTAAGGCACATGTAATGCTTCAGCTTACAAAACAGCAATGCTTGTGTAGGACACCCAGTTAAAAGCAGCTTGTCAACTTTGGGGCCTATATAAAAATAACTGTTTGCTTGCTTTTAATAGTGTTGAAATCAGGATCTGTGTCATTTGGTCAGGGCTCCAAAGTACATCTTACAATCCACAATGTATTTGGCTGTACCACTTTACTGTGGTCAATGTAAAATTAAACCAACCTAACTGACAGTATAAATGGATCCATTGAGACTGCTGGGATTGAAAGACAGACAAGCAACTTTCCAGCCAGGGAAATGAAACGGTACTGTAAGTACCATATTATTGCAATGACAGTTTCTGTACTTCAGATGTAAGCGCAATGAAATTACGCTCTGGGGGAGTGGTGGAAACACAGCTGGGTGGGTTGGTGCTGGATGCGGGTAAGAGCCAAGTGTGAAAGAGGATGCCAATCTCCTGCTTACTGGCGAAGTGCCACACTGGCCAGTGACCTGCAGCAAGCAGGATCAGCTCCCGGCCATCAACAGCAGCTGAAACCATGGTCCAAGCCCACACCACCAACCAGCAACTCATGTAAGCATGGGGCATATCTCGTCACGGCAGTGGGGAGTCCCCAGTCTAAGAGCAAAGCCACACTAGTCCCTGGTGCAGTGGGTGTAAACAGCTGACACCTTTTCACATCTGCTTGCGGGATAAAACAAGTCTTCCTCCCACTTCCATCAGCCCCACATTCACTCCAAAGACCCCAACACCTTTTTCTTTGCATATGCACCCCAAGCACTTGCGGTACTTCCTAAATAGCTGAACAGCAGCCTCTAGAGGGCTCAGCCGCAACTGCTCATGTCCCCATGCTGCTGTCTCAGAGGCTGTACCACAATGGCACTGCTTTTCCCCAACCTGTGACAGTGAGGCCAAGCCCGCAGCATGCACCCCTCCATCAGGGAGATGGCCAGAGCACTACCACACTTCATGGCATGTACCACCGC